CATGTATGTATGGATGTATGATTTACTGATTTATTTATTTATTGCTTGAGCAACCAGGAATGGCTAAATGGGATTGATGAGAAAAAGGGTGCAAAAGTTATTTTTTCATTTCTAAACACCAGCTGTTGGTCAGAGGTTGAGGAGGTTTAGTGGCTTCACTCATCGCAGAGAAATAATCTTTCCCATGGAGTGGCTAGCTGCTAGCTTTGTCTAGACTAGAATTAACAAGGGGTTTAATTAAGACGTTCTTTTTCAAAGTAAAGCCCTGCAAACACAATGGCAACTTTCAAATTTGACACATGAGGAAAGAATTAGCAATTGTAGTCACTTATAACATGAGGTTTAAAAGTTGGAATGGAGAAAATATTTCTGTTTACTTGAAAAAGATTAGCATACATTATGTTCTTAAATCCAGAAACAGTTTAACTATAAACTTTCATACAGCAAGTAACATTTTAGATTTGTGTATATTACTCTTCAAAGAGGACATATTATAGCTTTTAAAAATTATAATAGGTCTCTGGTATAAACAAAACATGTTCATGAAGTTCTTTTCACAAAATAAATCTCACCTAATTTCAGTTTTGTTATAATTTTTAGTACCTTCCAGAATGAGTTTCAGGGCTCTGTCACTAAATCAAATAAGCCCCCCCCCCCCCCCCCCCTTTCCCTGATAGGCTGCTATGAGGTGAGAAGCTCTGATTTCCAGGAGGGGCTCAGAGTAGAGCCACTGCTCCTCCACTGTCAACAGGCCTTATGCTAATTTTCTTTAGTGTGACATCACAATAAGGGACTTTTTGAAGTGGCATATTTTACTCAGATAAACCAAATACTGGCAGAAAACAAATGTATGGTTTTTATTTACCCTTGGAGTGTTTGTAAAGGCAGTGGAGACCCAACTGGCAGCACAAAAAAATACAAAAAGTGAGTTTTACATTTTATGTCCCCTTTAAACAGTTTGAACCAATCATTCTCAATTTTGTTGAGCTGTTTTTTTAAAGTGGATCTTAGAAAAAGCATAATTACTGAAAAAAACATTACCAAGCACCAATAATTTACAGTATTTTTGCTTGCCTGGAAACGTAGAATTTTTTTCCAATTACCTTTTGGGGCAACATTTCCCAAACATTATTTACGTGGACATCTGAATTGAGGACACACACAGGCAGACCACACACTGTGTGCCAAAGCGTGCATGACACACAGCAACACTCAAGCACACACACACTTTGAGCTGGGAATCTGGCTCTGCAGATAATACTCCATTAGCCTAGGCTGCAGAAAAGCTTGCCAGTCCTTCAAAAAGCTGCCAGAGTTGTTTTATGCCAGCTCTTATTCCAAGAGAGTACAAAAGAGAGGAGAAAACAGCCTGCTTCCTCAAGCCTCCTCCTTCTTTTAATTATCCCCATTTCCCATTTATTTGACATAGTTTTAGACTATACATTGTGTAAGCCAGTATAATTCTATCCGCCTTTATTGGGAACATTAGATCAATTCAAAAGAGTGAATGCTCTGCTACCTCTAATATTTATTTGTTCTGGGATAATTTCCACAAAAAGAGTAGAACAATGCCCCTGAGAGTGAGGCCTTGCAATTACATAAACAAGATCATTTTCTGCAGCATAGTATTAGAGATACCGCCAAATAAAACCTTTGGACCAGTTTGCAAAGTCTATAAAGAATCTAGAGCCACGCCATTTTAATGTCAATAACAAACTGAGAATCGTCCTCCACATTTGCAACAAACTCTCCATGTTGTGCCAGTTTTCTGCCAAAAACTTTAATAACTTTAGCATTCAACCTAGGGCTGGGTGATATGGCCTAAAATCAACATCACGGTATAGTGAGGATTTCACCTCGATAACCATAAATTGCCAATAACTACATGTATGTGCAGAAACAAAAGTTGTCCACTAGATGGGGCTGTCACATGTATTACGTGGTACAGTTTCTTAACTCATTCACTGCCAGCAGTTTTCCTATCAGAAAAGCCCTTCGCTGCCAGCGTTTTTCGGCATTTTTACTGTTTTTTTTTTAGTCACAGAACGTTGTGCACTAGGATGATGTCAACACCAAAACTACCAAAACAACCAAAACCTCTTGAGCTTGGTTTATGCTTGACGCGTCTGCAAGGTTCGCACAGCTCCGCGTGGTGAAATTGCGTCATTTTAACAACCACGCGCCTTCGCACGGCCCAAACTTTCCGCATCGCGCACATAGGAAATTTTCTAACCACGCGGACGGTCAGATGCGGAAAAACATGGCGGACTGGCAAGAACTAGTATGGCAGAGGTTCGTAAATACAGACATTTGTATGATTCAGCTCTCAAAGATCACCGTGATCAACATGTTGTTAATAATTCTTGGAGAGAAATAGCTCGCACTGTCTGAAAAGACGAGGACGCTGTTAAAAAATGCTGGAATACCATGTTGTAAACAACAGTAATTTTTACTTCTACTATGGTGTAGTGTTGGATGCATGCCGTAGAGCTCCATGCTGCCCCGTTCAGGTTGGGAGAATATTGGCTCACCGCAGAGACAAGCCGCATGAACCATAAACACTGCAAGTTGTGAAGTGCGTTCCATCTGCGAGCCGCATCACCAAGCGGAAAGTAAATGCGTCAAGCATAAACCAAGCTTTACACCAGGAAGAATCCGCAAGTTTTGAGCGTTATCCGTTCTTTCATAATCCGTTGTCGAATTGTGATCGGCAGAAGCTTTTCCTGTTTGCGTCTCACTTTCTTTACAGCAGCGGCCCAAAATGATCTCCTAACACATGGATTTTCTGCTTCCTGATCACGTGACATGTGACGTACGTGGATGAAGATCAGCTTTAGAGCTGAGATGTTTGCTCTCATGGTGCGGGGGCTCGTTCTGACGCCCACATAGTAAAAAATGCAAATGACGAATGGCAGTGAACGGTTGGATTTAATATGAGGACTTTTGTCATCAACGGCAGTGAATGAGTTAAAGGGACATGAACGTCGCCAACCTACACACATCTTTTCATGTTTTTTAATTATCGAATTTATTGACATGGGAAAGATGATATTGATGAGTCAGAAATTTCAATACCAATAAATTTTCGATTTATTGCCCTAATTCAATCCCATCTTTTGGTAAATAATCTCATGAGCCCTTGGATAAATAGATTTTAATTTCACTCAGACACACTGTTCATTAGAGATAAATTAAAGTTAAAGTAACGTCACTGCACATAAATGTTTTCTTAGCCACAAATCGGAGCATCCTGTATCTGAAAGAAGGTGTGATGTTCTGAGGGTTTGTTGTGAACACCCCTTAACATGGCACGTCCCGACTGGCCAAGTTAATCATAATATGAGAATATTGAAACAGAATCACTGGGGAGTGATTCATCATTCCAGCATTCTGTGAGATTCAGCATCCTGTTAGTTGAGCTAACTGACTGGCCATCGGAGGAAAACTCTCTAGCCACCGCATCTCTTGACAAGCTTTCAACAAGCTAAAAGCTCTCTACAGCTGACACAGCAAAACGGTTCCTTCAGCTATTCAGAAACAGCTGTTCTAGACGCAAACAATTTCATCTATCTGTTGTGATTCGGGAGACAACTCTGGACCGACCTGGTCGTGCTGCGGTCTTTTCTACGCACTTCGGTACCTTGGGGTCACCCGACCTCCCCGACATCTCGGATCTGAAAGGGAGTCTCCTCAGGGGTACGTAGAACACAACATGATTGTGTCTGATGTCGTTTTGATAAGAACCAACTTCATAGTTTAATGCAAACCAAATTCTTTTTCCACATCCGGAACTCAGTTCTTCTAGATACAAGGTTCTGATAAACACACACCATTCAATCACCATACATCACATCCCATCCACTTAGATTCATCCATCACAGTCGTCTTTGTTAACTTGTCTTGTTTTTAATTTGATTAGAAAATAAATTTCTTATCTTTTATAAACCCGACTTTCGGAATTGAGATGAAGTGTGTTTGATCCCTGAAAAAGCAAAGAATCCTAGAATCTTCTGATTAAACATCCAAAGACCAAGCAGGTTGATATTCTATATTTATATAGAATATCCCAGCTTATTGGTAATAAATAAAGGTAATCTGTTAAGCTTAAAAGCAACAATATTTACCCCTACACCCTTGTTTCTTTTTAATTTTTGAATTTTATTTTCTGTCATGTTGATTTGAAGGTGACAGTGTGTATTTTTCCTGGCGATAGGGGGCAGTAGATACCTAAATTGTTACAAGCAAGCAGTATGTTTGTGTTGGAATAAGACCTTACCAACGGATACACATTAGGGTCAAAAAGCCCTGGGGAGTGCAAACTTTAGCAAAATAACAAGCAGATCAGACTCCATTTCATCGCTGGCAACAAGTGAAGAGGTAAACACGTAAAAAAAAAAAACATTTAAGAATGACTCAAGTTCTGTAACTGTTTGTTACAAATCAGTAAATGCATTTTGTCCTCATGGGCTACCGTAGAAGGAAGCATGGCATCTAATATGGCGTCGCCTAGAAACTTAGACCCGCTCCCGTGTATTTTAGATCAGATTTTTATGGTTATATGTTACGAAGCAGCCAATATTGTTCAACAACTGGACATCATTTCATTCATTTTCAACAACATTTTGATTATTTCCATAAATTCATAGTAAAACTACACATTGTCTCTTTAATGTTCTTGCTATTCTTACTAATGGAAAGCACATTGAATTGCCTCTGTGTATGAAATGTGCTACATAAATAAAGCGGCCTTGCCTTTTACAGGCCACACTATTCAAGATGGCCATTGCAACTAATCAATCTTAGCAAATGAGAAATTGCAACAACTGTGACATGAAAGGTGTTAAAGGTATAACGTGGTTTTTCAACAAGTGCAATAATTTTATTTTCTAAAGAGCTTAGCAAACCATTCATCAATGTACTGTATAGATTAGCTTAACAAACAAGGCATGTAAAACCTTAACTAGCCAAAACAATTGTGCTGATGGAAAACTGGTTCTTACAGCATGCCGAGAGAAGGGTAGCCTGTTTGGGCTGGCGACTGATGATGCCATAAAAACCTCATCTGCACCAAGATCAAGTTCAGTCAAGCCACTGCAGGAAAGATCCATCTCTGCAATCTGGGAAATGTTGCCATCTGCTGCAACTGCAGAAGCACACAAACAAAAAAATTAGACACCATGTATGAGGTTTTGTAATTGAAGCTCAGAGTAGGCTCTACGAGGAATTTGCATAAAAACTGTAAATTCAGGCTTTCCGGAAACAATTTCCAACAGTAATGCTGCAATTATCCTATTTTTAAGACATGATTATTGCAGTGTGAATCGAAGGTAGGGCTGGACAATAATTCAATAATGATTTGTATCCATCTAAAAAACTGGGCCGATAAAAACTTTGATAAAAAAAACTTTCTTTCCTTTTTTCCTTAAGAGCCTATTAGCCTATCATACTAGACCCCCAACCAATCAACAACACAGATCCAGGCACATCCCCTCTACGTGACTAAAACAAGACATTGCAGCAAAGAGAGACAGAGGAAATTTTACCAAAAGAATATTTTGGTTTTTACAAGCCCTTTGCTATATTTGTTATGAGAGCTCAGGCTAGTTCTTCAGCTGAGAGAACTGAGGACCATTTATCTTCTTACCATGTCAAATATCAATACCAAAGTCAAGGAACCTCGCCTTGATGCCTTGGTCCCACCCCTATTGCCTAGGAGATGCATCATCAGCAACCACCAAGGCGTTGGCAGCATGTGCTGCAGAGGCATCTGTTCTCCTTTTGTCTGCCTTTTAGCTAACTGACTATGGATACATGGGACGTGTCTTGTTGCCTTTTCTTAGTCAAACATTTCCCAGAATACAGCGCTGTATTTTCAAAAGGATGGCGGATCAGGGGCCAGCAGCTACTTCAGGGGCAAATTCCCAGTTTAAATGTAAGTTGTAGCTATCGGGCCGATATCTGAAATGTGTTTTTAGATCCAAAGCAGTTAACTATGGTTGTTTATTTGCTTAGTAGTTGCAGCTTCGGTACTAACTCACTTTCATATAACCAATTTATACACAATCAAAAAAGTAAAAGGCCTGTTATACATTTATATTGGAACTAATACGTATAAAATATAACTTTACCTAATGTGTCATGTGGCGTGACCACCACAGGAGTAGCGGTCACGTGATTTAAGTCTGTTCCATTTAACTGTTTTCTTTGACCAAGGAAGGACAGTGTCCTCACCTGGCCTTGGCAGGCCAGGCGCCTTGACGTTGAAGAACAGCTTGTATGTTGTAAATATTGTGCTGCAGCTTGATTTGAAAAACAGGAATTGAACTGAAATCTCTATTTTTGCTCTTTTTGGAAATCGTTCAGTCCTAGTAAAATGAAAAATTTTAATTGGGGGGGGGGGGGGGGGTCTTTACAGCGTTAATTATGATTATTTGGGAAAAATGTTAGTTTAAAAAACATTTACGCATTTAATCACAGTATGAAATTCAAAAGGGCTGAACCATCGACATTGCACAATTTCCGGTTACACCGATTTCACTGACACACACAACAATGCGGCCTTGCTCTCCTACTAATATAGAAGATAACTGCCTTGCTTGGACTCAAGCAGCATTTGGAAAAAATAGGTTGGCCTCTTGTTTTAACTTGTAAAAATAACTTCCTGAAAACTACGGAGGCCGTCACACGCACACTTTTGAGAGATCGTCTCTGATATCACTGCTGCTGCTCACGTGCAGCGCTTTTTTATTGATCTGCGCACCTGAAGATTTATAAAGTCAGGTAAGCTAAATTCCTAATATAGTAACATTATGCAGCAGTGACATCATCAGACGGAATGATGTTTTGCTTTTAGCAGTAGTTTATGGAAGTAGTCAGACGAACAGCTGGGAAAATGCTTGTTTGCTGTGTTCTCACTACTCTAAACAGGACGTCTCTTAAAGCAACAGTAATGCTCCTAAAACTTTCTTATAATTTTCTAAACAATTCTGTCAGTTTACTATATTTTTCTGAGACAAGTGACTGTCTATGTGTTACATACGTTACTATAATTCGGCCTCAAAGTGTGTCGAAGCGGTCGTCAGCTGATCGTAGCTAAAGGGGCGAATGTTTACATGCAGGGTCAGTGAGGAACAAGGAAGATGTGCTCCGGTCGCAGACCTGGAGACCCGCACATCGCTACTGCAGACATGAATCTGCAGGTCTGCAGCTATACCCGTCTTGATGTGAGAGCGGGACTTCCCGTGTAAGGATGACGTCAGAACATTAATTTGATCATTAATTTCTAACTGTGTCTTTAGAAAACGAAGAAGAAGAAAAGAGCTTTTATATAGCACCTTTCAAGATAAAAATCACGAGGCGCTTTGCAAAAACAAAAAATGTAAAATATAAAAAAGAATTTAGAAAATAATTAAAAATATAGCTTCAGCACTTCCTTGTCTGGGTCTGACCCAAGTTAGTAAATTTAAGTCCTCCATCACATTTGTGCCTGTTCTAGTGTCATTTGTAAGCATTTTTATTGATAGATAAGATATAATTTTACTAGATTATGAGTAACAGAAATGCTAATAAAAACACCCAATTATACATAAAAATGAAACTGAAAAAATTTGAATATGGTGCAAAAGTCCATATATTTCAGTAATTCAACTAGACCAAGAGACCATTTAAAAGCTCAGGAACCCTTTGCAGGTGTTTTCTCTTTGCAATTATGAATTTTAGTTGATTGGGGGTTTATTTCATATAACACAGGGACATTTGAATAATTAAAAAGCATTGTTTTTTTTCAGAAATTAAGAGCTTGAGTTTACACAAATAATATTCATGTCTAACTTTTGATTCTCTGCCTCATTATTTTTAACTCATTCACTGCCAATGACGACTAAAGTCGTCATCTGCATTTTTTTTACTGTGTGGGCATCGGAACGAGCCCCCGCACCGTGAGAACAAACATCTCAGCTCTAAAGCCGATCTTCATCCGCATACGTCACACGTCACGTGATCAGGAAGCAGAAAACCCATGTGTTAGGAGATCGTTTAGGGCCTCTGCTGTAAAAAAAAGCGAGGAGCGAACCGGAAAAGCTTTTGCCTATCGCAATTCAACAATGGATTATGAAAGCACGCATAAAGCTCAAAACGCGCGGATTCTTCCTGATGTAAGAGGCGAGTCTCCGCTTTGTTTTGGTTGTTTTGGCGTTCCTAGTGCGCAACGTTCTGTGACTCTTAAAAAAGCAGTAAAAACGGTGAAAAAGGCTGGCAGCAAAGGGCTTTACCGATCAGGAAACAGCTAGCAGTGAATGAGTTAATATAAAAAAATAATTTTTTGGCAAATTTTTATGAACGATGAAAATGCAATTAAGATTAATTAATTACCAAGCCTCTAATTCATTAGATGATTTTTTTTAATCGAGTCCCACCCCTAGTTTAAATACAATATGAATTTAAGTGAGTTTTTGTCTTTTCTTTATTGAAATTAGTTAATTTAGGAATAGCATGAAATCGCCAGGGCTGCACTTAAAATAAATGTTCTATAGTTTTTTTTTTTAAATAATACTTTTCAATAACTATTGATATCAATCAATATGAATATTTTTATATCATCCATCCATTTTCTTCCACTTATTTGGAGTCGGGTCGCAGGGGCAGTAGCCTAAGTCGAGAGGCCAAGACTTCCCTCTCCCCAGCCACTTGGGCCAGCTCTTCCGGGGGAATCCCAAGGTGTTCCCTGTCCAGGTGAGAGACATAGTCTGTCCAACTTGTCCTGGGTCCCTCTTTAGGCCTTCTTCCGGTTGGACGTGACAAGAAAACCTCAACGGGGAGGTGTCCAGGAGGCATCCTAATCAGATGCCCGAGCCACCTCAACTGGCTCCCCTGGATGTGGAGGAACAGCGGATCTACTCTGAGCCCCTCCCGGATGAGAGCCCCAGCAGAGAAAACTCCTTTCAGCCGCTTGTATCCGTGATCTCGTACTTTTGTTCACTACACAAAGCTCATGACCATAGGTGAGGGTAGGAACGTAGATCGACTGGCAAATTGAAAGCTTCACCTTCTGACTCAGCTCTCTCTTCACCACGACAGACCGGTACAGCGCCTGCACCACTGCAGGTGCAGCACCAATCCGCCTATCAATCTCACGCTCCAGCTTTCACTCACTTGTGAACAAGACCCCAAGATACTTCTCCACTTGGGGCAGGACCCTGAAACGGAGAAGGCATTCTACCCTTTATCCGGCCCTAATCTAAGGATTCCAAAATTATGTGATCTAGTTGAAAAAATGTTGACCGATGCATGCAGAGGATGAGAATATACTCCAGCGTTTTTCAACTTTACCCTGGGTGTTCATAGTGGGTTAAACACCACAACCCACAAATCTCTCAGCCTGGGTTTAGTCCCATTAAGATGGAAAAGTCTTTTTTGTTGCTCCACAATCAAGCTTAAGCATTGCTCCAAAACGGATGCAATTTTCCTTTCCTTGAATAACTGCACACACCCTCCCCACAGAGCATTTCTTGTTTTTAATTAAACTAATGTTTTGCAACACAAAAATGTTACGACTGCAACCACTTCATATAATAAGTTTTAAAAACTTAGGCGAGTTCTCAGCTTTTCATTTCCACTAGCATCATCTGTTATTTTGTAAAAGGTTGGCAAGTCCATAATTTCACAAATAAAGATCACCATATGACACAGAAGAACCATTGTCACACAGATCCATCCTTACTGCTTCACAGCAACAGATATTTCTCAAACCTCAAGTCTTCACTTGAGCTTAACTTTTATTAGTTCAATGCTTTGCCAGGAAATTAATATATTTAATTCCTGGAATCATTGTGTCAAAATCAGTAGTGCAAATTAATCTAAAGTAACATCCACAGCATTGCACTTTTCAAGGGTTTTTGGGTTGTTGCAGTGCTTGCTTGTGCATTTTTGTCATTCAACATCATTAAAACATGAACTTAGAACAATATATGGCAATCATTGGATCTATTAAGGGACAGTACATTTCTTCTCTGGTGTGTCTTCCAAACCTTTGTGTAGCTGGCTGTTGTCCTGCTGTATAGTCATCTCTGGGATGGACTGACTCTCAGCCATCAGCTGCAGCTCACTGATTTCAGGACCAGTGTTTTGTGCTTCCTCTGGCACCTACAACAAAATACCATTGAGTGTTTCTGCAAAGATTGATTATAGTTCCAGTAATGTTTCCAACTCAGAGTAAAAGCTCTAAAATCAACAGTGAATCAAAGATTTGAAGAGTAGAGAGTGTTAAGTGAACAGGATATATGCACGTAGGGCTTGGCAATAAATAGAAAAGTTATCGTTATGGAAATTTCTGACTCTTATCGTGATAATTTTTCCCATGTCAATAAATTTGATCGTAAAAAAGATGTGTGTAGGTTGGCAACATTCATGTCCCTTTAAGAAGCTGTACCACCTTGAGTCACGTAAAAATGTGACTTAAGTGATACATGTGACAGCCCCATCTAGTGGACAAATTTTGTTTCTGCGCACACCCGTAGTTATCGTCTACTAATCGTTATCGAGGTGGAATCTTCAATATATCGTGATATTGATTTGCCCAGCCCTATATGCACATACTCCTTAAGTCTAATATCTTGTCTTTTTTAAGAGTATTTCTAAAAATAAAAAAATAAAAAACTACCATATTTTCCGGAGTATAAGTCGCTCCGGAGTACAAGTCGCACCAGCCATAAAATAAATAATGAAGAAGAAAAAAACATATATAAGTCACACAGGACTATAAGTCGCATTTTGGGGGGGAAATTTTTATTATTTTTCTTACAAAATCTGAGACCAAGACAAGACAAGACAAGTACCGGTAACAATAACAGAATAAACAACCAGGGCGCAGCAGCGCACCACGGTCTCCAGCAGAGGATGGCGGTGTTTCAAACCCTCCCAGCGGGTGGCGAGAGCTCATTCCTGGGCCGGAGCCGGCCCGCAGCACCCCGTCACAGGTTGCAGCAGGTGATGGCGGTGTTTGAAACCCTCCCAGCGGGACAGGGGAGCTCATTCCTGGGTCGGAGCTGCCCGGCCTGCAGCAGCTCGCCACAGGCTCCAGCCGGTTTTGGCGGGGCAGAGAAGCTGAAACCTGGACCGGAGCCAGCCCGCAGCAACGCGCCACGGTCTCCAAATGGTGATAGCGGGGCAGAGGAGCTTATTACTGGTCCAGAGCCGGTCTGCAGCAGCGCGGTATACATAATTTGGTATACAAGTCGCTCCGGAGTATAAGTCACAGGACCAGCCAGACTATGAAAAAAAGTGCGACTTATAGTCCGGAAAATACGGTAGTTCACTATGTAGTAAAACTCACCAGAGGTGTGTAGAACTGTTTGCTCTACAAAATGCACCACAAGGTCTCTTGGTTGGACATTTCTAAAACACCTTCTATACGGTGTCCACTAGGGCTGCAACAAATAATCATTTGGATCATTGATGAATCGGATCGGGTCTCGACTCGATTAATCGGATTAAACAGGAATATTTAAAAACTGCCACGGAAACATTTTTCTCTCCTTCCTTTACTTTAATAATAAAACATGATTAGAAAACAGTTCAATAGTGTGCAAAACAACATGATATCATCTAAATATATCCATAATTAAACTATGATCAGCAAAATTTGTTGTATTTTATTAACATGTTCAGTAGTAAGCTACTGGGAAGGCTAGTAACATCGAATTTCCACTGCAAAAAATGTAATGGTGACATATTTATTATGTATGGGTTAGCAATAATTTAATTTAAATTATGTTCAAAGATAGATGCAATTGTGAATTATATGCTACAGTGGCTTGCCATAATCCTGCAGCAGCATTTAGCTGAGCAGACTTGAACCTGTCTGCAGCGGTTCTGCTACACAGCGCTGCAGACAGGATGCAGGATGGTGAGGACTATTCTTCCACTTGTAGGGTTTAAATATTCTTAGTTTCATAACCATCACGTTTTTTCGGAACCCCACTTGATCGTGAGCCCGCTACCTGCTAGCATTAGCTAATCTGCCTGTAGTTGTGCTTGATCCCAGACCGTTTCTGCCTTTGTGTCTTTGCTGGTTTCTGTTTTCCTCCACACCACATACACTAGCTCATTGCGCATCAGTAAGCAACTAACCCCGGGTTTCCACGGGAGCCGTCAGCAGCACGTTACTGCAGCAGCACGTCTTGCTCGCGTAAGCTGCTGCTTGGCCCTTCCCACGAGACGCGAAGCAGCAGGGGGGCAGCTGTCACCGACAGGGCACGAAGTCACACGAGTGACTTCGTCAGTAAACACAACAACAAGCAGGAGAAAATTACAACATGGTTTGTGTTTTATGTTCTGTCCGTTTTATAATCGCCAATACGGACCTGAAAAACAAAGGAGACCGCTAGCTAGGTGATAACTTCTCACGGGGCCGCACAGTTAGTAACTTTTTTAAAAGTAAAGCAACCGGAAGGCAGTACGTTCTTTATTCTGAAAATCTCGGGTGCTTCTCTCCATTTCCGCGTCCGATTTCCTGTCTTTCCTTCCCCAAACATGTCTAAATTGACCCGTTTCAGAGGCGTCGCGCGTAGGAAATAGAACCGGCGCGTAAAGGCCGCGACATGCTGCTCCTGAGACGCGGCCGACTCGCACTGCTGACGGCTGCTGACGGCTCCCATGGAAAAGGTTCTGTTGACCACAGCGGTTCCTATCAGCAGCTATGACGTGCTGCTGCAGTAACGTGCTGCTGACGGCTCCTGTGGAAAGCCGGGGTTACTGTTTTAAGAGTGTCGTTCCTCATCAAAACACCATCTTTCTGCTCTGTTACCTCCTACACATGAGCTGCGCGCATTGGCTGTTAAATAAAAGTTGCACAACACAACAAATCAATGACAAAATGCATTGCCAATGCATTTTGTCATTGATTTTAATCGATTTTATCGATTTGTTGTTGTAGCCCTAGTGTCCACATGGCATCCTTGGCAGGTACCCAAACCACCTTAAATGACTACGTTTGATGCAGAGGAACAGCGTCTGTTCCAATCATCCTACCGTACCCCTGAGCATGAATCCTGCCAATCTGCAGAATAAACTCACTTCAGCTGCTTTTCCCTTCAGTCTCATTCTTTCCGTCATTACCTTCAACTCACGACTATATACATATGAAGGCAGGAATGTGTAAAATGTCCCAATTACTAAGCAACAGTTTAAAGGGATTTAAGCTGAAAGTCATTCACAATGCTAATCCTAAACATTTACAGAGCACACAAGAGTTTGTGTGAGATTGTGTAAATTTGTGCATGAAGTAATTTTACAAGTCACTGGCTTTAATTCTGTTAAGTTCATTCATCTTAGAATAAAATCTTCGCACAAAAGGAGACATGTAACATGCATTATGATTCAAGGAAGGCCTGGCCTGTAATTCATAATCAGGTTTTTTGTTTCTTCTTTTTGACTTCATGGTCACTGTGGTGTGTAAAAACAAGCTAATATTGGCTGTATTTTAAATTAGCAACTTCATCAGAATTAATCCACTCACCTTTTTCATAATCAGCTCAGATTTAGCCTAAAAGCTAAAGGGAAATTAAAAGAGTCCTAACTGAGTTCAGCTTTGGCTCTGTAAAGCCAAAATCAGCATATTCACTTTTTTAATAATCCATTTAGGTTGCTTGTATTTTCAATTAATTGAAAAGATGGACATAGACTTTAGGGATGTGTACTGGTGAAATTCTGGTGATATGATACGTATCATGATGCAGGGGAGACTACGCGATATATCACAATATATTGCGATACATTCAGCCAGATGATATTAGCAACTTTTTTAGACTGAATTTATTATAGGAAAATTAAATAAACAGTCCAAACTGATACATAGCATGTTTAACATGAGGTATCTGAACCATAATAGAGGGATTTACATTTCAATGGTGGAAACAATTCCATTGCACACTGCTGCCAACTAGAGGTCAGTGTTTGAATTGCACCAAAAGAAAAGAAAATATGAAATATGTTTGCATGTAAATTCTTCCAAAAATTAAAAAAACGGCTTTTGAATATCAATATAATATTGCAGGAAAAATATCCTGATATACTGCCATATCGATATATTTTTTACATCCCTAGTAAACTAATCCCTAGTCTAATTGCCTCTGAGGGAAAACATTTGTCTATAAAACAGGCTTTAAAAATGGTAATAAGTAGCCTTTGTTACAAATCTGTGACCTGGAGTGAACCTGAGTAGGGATGGCTCTGCGGGGAGTAGAGGGGCAGAACAACAGAAGCGGACCATGTTGGCCTCACTAGTGAGGAATAATTCAACAAATCCCGGATAAAGCTGTGTTTTCAGAGGAATGTCTAACAAATAAAGCAGACAAGAAGGCAGGTAGGGGATGAGAGAAAACCCCATGTGGAGTAAAACAAACGGGGAATGAGGCAGGGAAAGCAGAAATATCTGGACAAGCAAACATTTGATCCTCTTTGAGACAGTCAACAGATAAAGGCGATGCGCTGGGAAGAACATCACAAGAAATATTGGGCAATAGAAAAAAGTCAAACTTCTTATTGGACAAATACTTTGGAAAATACTTCACAAGTCAGTGCACACTGCTATAGGAAAAAGAACAATAGGCATGTTGATGTCAGGAACTTAAATAGGAAAGGGGTCCACCTCTCGCTCCACAAGGAGTCTTATTACTGTATGTACAGTCTCTAATTCAACTTTATAGGATAAAAGGCTTTTTTAAATACTGGAAATTAAAAATAATCATCTAGGTGTAACTGTCAGTATGTCATCTTCCAATGGCATCAAAAGGATAAATGTTTGGCAGAGAAAAACGGGACTGTAGTCGTTTCTGTACCTCAGAGTTACTGGATGTGCAGGAACTCGCTCTTTTTGGACACAATTTGGGTCTGAAAAACACAAAGTAGCAAATCAGTTCAATTCCTAATTACAGACACGTGTGAAAAGCTTTTATGGATATTCTCAGTTTCTCCACACTCTTGGCTGCGTTCTTTCCACTATTAAAAGAAACCCACTGTGGTGTTAACAGTTTGACCAGAAATGTTCAAATGGACACTATCCCACTGGGCTGCGCTGAAACAACAGCTTTGTGACACTGTAATCTGCTTCATGAGCATACAGCAAAATCTTCAACATTCCCGTGGCTATATCCATTCGCAAGTGGTTCTGTTGTGGTGTTGGAGGATGAAGCAGGATGCACCCCAATCTTGGACTCGCATAAATACTCTATTCTCCTTTAAACTGTTCTGATGTTGCTGAGCTGTCAGTGCATCTTTTATATGTGATAAGAAAATTCTTACCATAATCAACACCAGTAAACACTTTCCCATCCCTTCACCTAAGGACAAAAACCATTTTCCCCACAAGCATCCATCTGTTTACAATGATATGCCTGTCTGAAATCGTCATATTTATGATTATCTGGATTAGTTTTACATTTATTTGAGCCACTGAAGCACACAAGTATGTACCCTCTAGTTAAAAATGACTGAATGAACAGCTGAATGAGTTCATTATCTGTCAACACCAACCCCTGCTGATACTCTCACACGCCTCTGGCTGTTCTGTAGCGACAGCAGACCTGTGGAGGTAAACCGAGTGATATATAAAACAACGCTGCTCAACTCGTCAGGCTAAACGCCGATAGTTTAGGTGTACTTATTTAAATAAAAAAGGGAAGAAGAGAATAAATACCCGCCGGGCCTCTCGTGAGTTTGGGTGTTTTCATGGCTTCTGAATAACTGAGGCCGTTATTCTTGCTAACTACATGTTCATTTTATTGAACATGTGGTTTTAATTTTAAACACCTTAATGTGAAGGACCTATAAGATCTGATGTGCCTGATGGATGGCTTTGAGGCATTGTGGTGCTAACTAATCCTCACAGAAAGATGTGGACTTGACAAAAGCACAAATCTAAACCTGGCTGAGATTCAAATCCACCTGAACCAGCTGGTTAAAATGGTCCGCCTGTCAGAACAGATAGTATTACAGTTGTTCACACTTTCACCCTTTTGGTTTGTGTTAATTGTCCTTAGGGATGAAAGCTGGAACAGTTTGTAAATTACACCCTTTGAATGCCTGACAATGCTATCGCTACTGAACTCACTCGTGTGACCTCCTCCTTCTTGTCCCTTATTCCCTCAAATACCCGCCCATTACTTTCATGCTGCCTCTCCGTTTTGTGCGCTGGAATTGATGCCAGGTGTTGTACCTTGAATGCTCTGTCTATGGTGAGAATGCTCCACATCAAGGAAGCCACACAGTTGTAGCCAAAGCCAACTAATCACCAAGGGTCACCACATCAGGGCCCGAGGCTTCCAGCTGAGTCAACATCACAGAGTCGTGACTGTGTGGGCCTGAGTTTGTGGATATGTGCACAGTCTGGTAGGCTGGTCCATTTTTAGTCATGACAGTTTCAGATTCAGACAGACTTGTGAATTCTCACTGGGAAATATTCCAAAGCCTCAAGTGAATTTACTTCCAACCAAACCAACTCAGTGACTAGGATTTACAGAACGTACTCGCCAAGGCAAGAACCATAACTCTGAGCTGAATTATCTTGCATCTGTTTGTGGCAATCACAGACGAATGACCAGTTTTTCTGCATTGATCAAGGTATTTTGTCTTTATCCTTGATTTATTCATTTGCTTCTGTTACCTGAAAATGATGCAGAGGACACTTGTAAGTAGCAAAGCGAAGAAGGCTGCTCCACTCACAGCAGCAAGTAGAGAGTCTACCTTGCTGGCCGGTGGAGACAAAGCATGCTGATCTCCCCCTGGCTCAGTCAAGTTGTGATAATGGAAAATAAGAGCAAAACCCCGTCCCCAGTGGGTGGTAGTGATGAGCTCCATGATGACCTCCACCATCTCCTGGCTAGAGCCAAAAACCAGCTGGCTGCTGGGAGGCCGGTTGGACCCACAGAACCTAGAGGAAAAGGTGATGAGGTCTGAGATGTAGAGGACATCGTGGGGGCAGGCATCAAGTATCGATTGAGTTTCAGGGCTCACAGCTGGAGTTTCTGTGAAGTGTGGTGAACTAAAGGTGGTCTCTTCCATAACTGGACTTGGACTCAAATTGGGATTGAGGTCTCTCTTCAACTGCGGGGCAGAGCCAGAGCTCATGATCTTGTCTCCTGGAGGAACAGCCCCAGGAAGGAGGACAAAAGATGAAGGTGGGGAAGCTGAAGAATCTGCAGATCTTTTGGCTGAATTTGAAACTCTAGCAATCTCCATTTTTGAGGACTGCTCCTGGACAACAACTTGCTTGACCTCACCATCTTGAGAGGTCTGCTGAGCCTTTGAGACATCCTTTCTCCATTGAAGCATAGACTCCATTGCTACAGCTGAAGGTTCATCTGCAGATAAACTCCCAGGGCTAGCAGTCACCTTCCTCTCTGTGTCTTCTTCATAATTAGAGATAGCAGAATATTGATTTTCAGAGTCGTGGCTTTCAAATACATCAAAGTCAAATATCTCTAGAACAAGCTGGTGATCAACAGGCACAACAAACTGCCAAACACAGTGCGTGCCGGAGGAGTAGTTGTAGGGGAAGCCAGGAGACAGAATGAGGCCTTGGATGTCCACCACTTCCACCTTGGCACCACAGTCAAAATATACCTGTAAGGGGAATTACATCAAGTCAGTTGTAATATTATTACAAGTCTTTTTTTTTTTTTTTTTTTGGTAGAGCTAAGATTATTTCATGATCATTTCTGACTTCACTACTTGTCAGATATCCAACAATCACTTAAAGGAGACATATCATGGAAAATCCACATTGTTGTTTTCCATTTCATCTAGCCTGGCCTGCCAGACTCGTCCTCTGTTTAATTCTGCACAGAGAAAGAGTCTGGTAACTCACAGGCAGAGAGCCACATGAGGGGCGGGACCAGGAAGCTCACAAATAACCAATCAGAAAAAGGACGGAAATAACAACTGTACCAGGCAACGCTGTCGTTTTTTAGCTGTAGTAAAAAAAAAAGCGTCTGACAACGGCGCAAACATCTTTTTTTCTTTTAGAAGAAATGCTTTTAGCGCTTCTACTTGTTCTGGTTTTAAAGACATTCAAGTCATTTAGAACAGAGGAAAGAGCCGCAGCAAACTCTGCTGCTGTCTCCGTTGTTTATGAGAAACTAAGCGTCGCTGCGTGTGACGTCCGCGACGCTGTAGTTTTTTAGCTGTAGTCAAAAATGGCGTCTGGCGACAGCACAATCATCTTTCTTAAGAAGAAAGGATTTTAGCGCTTCTACCTGTGGTTTTAAAGACATGTCCAAGTCATTTAGAACAGAGGAAAGAATTAACTCTGCTTCAGTCGCCATGTTTAGGACAAATTTGGCATTGTGGTGTGACGTACGTTACTCAGCACTGATTGACTCGGTTAGAAGTCTCAGGGGGTGGGATTATTTGAATAGGAGAGTTCCCAGACCCTTTCTCTGTGCAGAATCAAACAGAGGAGGAGTCTGGCAGGCCAGGCTATATTTCATCAGGACAACTGCCAAATATGGTGATAGACTTCCAGCTATACACAGAGCCAATCTGCCATTTTGTCTTCTTTGTAGTCCATTTAGAAAAATGCTGAAAGAAGTGGTAATGCCCCCCTCAGAGTCCTTCTCCACCCATGTATAAATTTTAAAAACTGCAACATTAGTAGGCGTTGCCTGGAGGACCGAGAGGGTGGAGCCGCGGCAGTGACGAAGACGATGGGTAACGAGACGATGCTAGCTCCCTTCACTCTGAGCAGTCATTAGAAGTGGAGGACGTTTCTCCCCCTCCTTACCCAGACACTCGAGAAGAAAGGGACCAAGTCTATTTGGAGGAGACATGCGGATCTGAGCCTTATTGTTTTGAGCTTGTGAGTTGCCTGAAACTACCGCAACCGACCCAACAGAACCAGCTCTGAATGGTAAGTAGCCGTTAGCCATAGCATTAGATTAGCTGCAGGGTTTGGCCCCACGGCCCTAGAGAGCTAGTATTCAGCATGTTTTAGAGATTTATCTGCTTCAACACACCTAGTTTTAATCAGCAACAAATAGCTGAGTTGCTGAACAGCTAATCTAACCTGTTAAAGCAGGAAAAACACTGAAACTTGCTGGATAGCAGCTCTCCAGGAGCCCTGGGCTCAAGTTACAGTCTGCTGCATAGAAAGTTATGAAACTGCCCCATGAGAAAATTATTCTGTAATGTGTTCAGCCCACTAAAACTGCCCTGATTTATTTATTTACTGATACCAGCTGCTCTCTTGGTCGTAGGTGATCCTCTGGTGTCTGCAGCTGGTCTCCTGCTGGTGTCGTCAGGATCAGGAGCTTCCAGAAGAATGTGCCTTTCAATGACTCTTTCCCCTTATTAATTGTTGTTAATTAAATAAATCTCAATTTATATATTTCCTGTTTTTGTTCATGTCCATAAATACTTAAACATGCTTGAAATTAAAACGAGCTTTTAACAGTGAGGTGCTAGTTTAATTCATCACAATAGAGCTAGTTAAACATGCAACAATGTGATAATTCAATTAATGTAATTTATAAATATCCATTAAAATATCAAAACTGGAATCTATATGAGATATTTGGCAGCACAAAAAACTTGTCAAACACAATATTTATTATAATAATTGTAGGCAGACAGGAGACAGAGCTGATGGAGGTTCTCAGTCATCGAAGGATGGCTGAAGGCTTTCCAGGAACAGGAGATGTGGTGTTGTCTCTTCTCTCTCTATTCTGCCAGATGAGCTGATAGGTTACAGGTGTGTGAGGACATCCTCATGCTGTCATAACCAGATGACAGGAGTTATCAGGTGATCAGCGAGGCTAATGATGAGATGCAGAAAGAAAACAAATCAAGGACAGTGTGGTGTTGCTCACCTTATGTGCTCTTATAGAATATTAACGTGTGCCTACCTCATGGTGTAGAGTCCATATTTTGCTGAGTGTCCTGCAATAATGCAGGTTATTAGTTAATTTACTTTTGATAGCAAAGAACTAAATATTTAATGTAAAAGTTATTTACCAGGTGAATCAGCTCACACGTCACCACCAAGTGTCACAGGGGCAGAATCAGCCTCCTTCATGATGTCATAATGCAATCACATACTGATTTAATTGTTAATATCTTAAAAATTCTGAAATGTTTTAATTTTTTTACCTTGAACAGTTCACTGAGCTTGCACCGTCATTGAGGTGGAAGCTGGAATCAACAGCAGACACCTCACATCTTGGTCTTTTCAGGGGTGTGGATGCTGCTCTGGGACTTTCTGGAAGATGAATTTCCGTCATGGTCCCTGTGTCACCAGACACACTGAGGCTGGGAGCTCTAAACTGGGTGGCTATGTAAAAACAAACAGCACATTTATAAATGTTTAAAAGAGCACAAAATCACGTGTAACAATAATCTGTAAAACAAATTAAAACTAGAAGGTAATAATAAAATGTTTGCATTAGGGTTGTCACGGTAACCGGTATAGCGGTAAACCCCGGTAAAAAAGTTGACAATAAAAATAACCGTCCAGTTTTTAAAAAACTAAATTATCTCGGTGGGTTTACCGTGGCCGCGGTTTCGGCGCGGTGACCCTTACCAGCCACCGTCGCTTCAGCTGAAGTTCCCGCGGCGCGCACACGCACTTTTTAGTTTGCAACGGCACCAAAACTTTGAAGCTGAAATAATGGCCGAAGGAGGAGACGGCAGCACCCAGGACATCCATCAGCCCTCAAAGAAGACTAAATCGGAAGTATGGGCATATTTTTGGATTTCTGAAAAATGCTGAGGGACAGTTAATAGAAGACGGCTATCCCTTTTGCAGAACGTGCAGGAAACAAGTGTCTGCAAAAGGCAGCAACACTTCGAATCTAATGGCACATCTGAGTGACCATCACCCACGTCTCTACAGCCAGTGCAAGGTAAGTTAACATTAGCATTTTAGCTTAAATGCATGACGTGAGGACTTTTGGTTGAGGGAGAATGCAATGAGTCACTATATACTGCAGCCGCAGCGTCCTCTGCCAGCATTTAAACCGTGTCACGGACACCCTGTTGCTGGATGAAGCATCTTATTTGTTGATGATGAAGAGAAATATACAATTAGTTCCTTGTCATTGATTTGTTTACTTATTCAATGCCATTTATACTTGAACATTTGGATTTGATTACATAGTGTAGTAGTTATTTTAGTAATTTGTTTAAAGTGGCTATTTATTTTAAATACATATTTTTTTAAGGTTGACTTGTACAGTGCTCAAGTCAAGTGTGGACTGGAGTTTTAGATTTTCATTTTGATAATGAAGAAAACAAGTATATGAGAAAACAAGTGGTGTTTCTTTGATTTGTTTACATATTGTTTATGTTTTGAATGTTTGGATTTGTATCATTTAAACCTGCACTGACTACTGTAACATGCTCCAGAAAAATAAGCTATTTGTTCCTTTACTTGTGAAAAGTTGCACTTTTGCTAAGGCTTTGTGTTATTTTAGGTTTAATAAACACTGTTAAACCTTTTCAGAACTATTTCAGTTTGTGTAGAACAGGACTATCCATGCTTTCTGAACATATGCAACACCGTTTAAAAAATACTGCGATAATACCGAAAACCGTGATAATTTTGGTCACATTAACCGTGAGGTTAAATTTTCATACCGTGACAACCCTAGTTTGCATAGACGATTATTAAAAATAATTCACCTTTGCTACGGGTAAGGCTTCACGTCAGCCTGGACAAGTGCATTCTTGCAGACTACTAAATCAGTCTGACAGCCAGTGTCTTGGGTAGATTTAGCCTGAAAAAAAAAATAGAAGCGCATTGTTGTTGGAGTTTATAGTCATAGATAATATACAAAAGAAACGGTCCTATATAGGCGCTTTATAACATTCCTAGTGTGTGATCGTTATTATAACGTAAAAGTCAATCACATATGATGTGAAGAGAGCCTGAAATGCGACCTCCTGAACAGAATTCCTCACAGAACCGGGTCACGCTGTGGTGTAAAGCTGGATTTCACGCTGTATGCTGTCTTTCAACTAGTGATGCGTTAGAGTCACTGTTGCAGAATTACCGACTGACACAAAAGCAACCCGAATTTTCTCCGAGCCTGACAGTAATAGCCATGTGGACCGTTTCCTCGGCCAGGGCTTCGCGATATGTTCCGATTCGCCGCTGATTCTAACCTTACATCCCGTTCCACATTTTGAGAACTTGACAAATTAGCCCGAAGGCAGTGCAGACTGATATCAGCTAAATTAAGTGAACCACGTTTCTCAAGCTTTGCATTTAGGTAGGGAATTGTCTTTAGAAGATGTTAAAACTTTTATTTAGCTTACTCACCTCAGACTGGAGCCCGCCATGATGGGGGAGCAGAGTCGGTGGGCTGCATCTAAATCGCGGAAGAGCCACGGTGGGCACAGCCTCCCTCTTCAAATGGAGACGTGCAGAATCGCAGGTAAATTGCTGGTTGCTAACTACAGCACCCGGCAGGAGCTGACTGCTTTCCAGACACCGATTGCGCGCAACCACTGGCGCCTAATTTCTAAGTCCAGCGGAAAGGAGTGCAACCCCACAGAGCCACCGCAACCACACTACACCTTCTCACCATACTAACACGATATGGAGCACTAAACCCGAACTACTTTCCTAATTACACTAACAGCCAAACACTAACTAAACTACATTATCTAACAGCCAAACTAACACTAAATAAGCATGTATAAGCTATGCTAAAGACTAGGATATGCTAATGCTATATGCTAATGCTGAACTACGGCTAACCTCCTACACTCGCTTGCAAATCCAACTCCCAACTTGCCACAAGGCGTGGCCGAGACTCTCGATGCTTTATAACTTTGACACAGAACTGCTACATAGTACTCTACTGGTTTACGTAGTATCTTTCTCTTTATCCATTGGCTAAAGTGTATTCAAAATGACTCAAACTCTATGTTTTAAGCTGAAGGTGGCGCTATACTGTGGTATTTAGGCAGAATTTTTAATTTTTAAAAAAAATGCACCAAAATGCTAAAATAATGAATACACACATTTAAAACACTATTAGACACACATTTATACAGTTCATCAGCAAAAAAAAGTTAATTTAGACGTTACTTGCTCTTGAATGTCCAGTCATTTGATCCACACGTCTCTCTGAACTGTTCCTCACTTGCGTGTGTCTCACTCCACATGAGAAAGTTGGCAGCCCTGAGACACAGCTGGGTGGATAAATCTCACCACATGTTTAAAAAGTGCAAATACAACATTACTGCCATGCTAAATAACAATTTCTCTTTAAAACTACTAAAATGTCCGACTGGGGTGGAGAGTGAACTCTGCTCTGTGGAGGGGGGAGGGGCTTGCAGCTCTTCCTTCACATTTAAAGAGAAAGAACCAAAACGGCTCATTTTCAGTTCTCCACAGAACAGAGGTAAACGAGGGTCTGTAGAGCAACAATAATGAAGAAATCAGACCCAAGAACTGCTGTAACGTTATATTTGGTCCACAACTGAATTATCTAGTTGCAAAACAGAAGAACATACAAGCATGATATGTCTCCTTTAAAAGGCCGGTGAGTGAAAAGTGTCATAGACAGTTAATACATGTGATTGTTATTGTGACTAGAAACTATCTTGGCTCTGAACTATAACTTTGTTTTTTCTGACTCTGTAGCAAACCCTGAGTGACGCCTGAACTTCTGGCCCCAGTGGCCACTGGTGGAAGATGAGTGTATTTCTTAAAACATGCTGGCAGTAATTTTTCCCAGGTGGACAGAGACAGAAGCAGGGCTTTGCCCTTAAGCATAAGCTAATGTTTATTGGACATGGGAGCAGAGGACCAGACCTTTGTAGGGGGCCTGTGTGTTTATGAGCTTTTCTGTTCTCCTCAGTTCTGAGCTGTGGGAATGCCCCAGACAGCCAGACCCCCTTCCAGACAGGTAACAAAACCAACACCCTCCAGCGACACTGGTGCTCTGGACTGAAATAAAACATGTGGGAGACTTCAACGCAACAGCACAAAATGGAAACATTTAGTAAGCTAGCCCCTGAACTCCACCCCCACACATCTCCCTCGTGTCTTGTTAGCAGTGCTCTAATCAGTGTACTGGTGGTCCTAAAGACATTTATTTTATTTAGTAGAATTAAGTTCTCATGGAGAAATACCTCATGAAATCAATTTTCAAACCTCTTTTTCAAATCTAGTCAGAGGAAAAGTTACACCCTGATTCATTTTTTTAGGTTTTGTTTCATGTGGAATGGAATGAAAACAAGTTGGCCCTCACAAGTCACAATTATCTAAGATAATATAGAACAGCTTAGCTCAGTAAGTAGAGTGGGTTGGCCAGTAATCGGATGATCCATTCCAGGTTCCTGCAGAGAATTCTGCTGTCTTAGGGCAAGACACTTATCCTGATGGTGGTGGTCAGAGGGACAGGTGGTGCTTGTACTCGGCAGCCTCGCCTCTGTCAGTGCCCTCCAGGGCAGCTGTGGCTGCATTGTAGCTCATCGTCATCAGTGTGTGAATGTGTGTGTGAATGGATGAATGCTACACTGTTAGTGTAAAGCCTCTGAAATGTCCTAAACAACCCGTGTTTTCCCTACACGGCTGAAATTCCAGAGCCACAGCTACAAAATCCTCAAACACAAACACCGCTCATCGCTGTCACGAACAATGCACTGAAGCTAAACAAGCTACGAAACGATCTCCCTTAAAGCGGCTATCCTAAATATTTTAATCAGAAGGCACCATCTAGTGACTGGCTAATGTATAACACCTCAAGATGTTGTTTTCACTTCCGTATATATGGTCAAAAGCAATGCCTCTTCATCTTTACTCATGATCATTTTTATGTTGTATTATTTGGAGAGAAAAAAACATGTAACAACATAAAAATTATTTGAGATGTTTTGTACTTTTAAAATTAAGTTTCAAAAGGTAAATTTATTTAAATGGCATTCTATACTTTTTAAGAAGTATTTGTTCTCCTGCAATTCCTCTGGTATGTGCAATTGTTCAAAAACAGTCCTTTTGACATACATTGAACAAAAATATTAACGCAACACTTTTGTTTGTGCACTTATTTTTTCACGAGCTGACCTCAAACATCAGAAAATTTGGCTACATACACAAAAGACCCATGACTCAAATGTTGTTCTGAAATGTATCTACATGTGTGTTAAGTGAACACTTTACATGCACATCTCAGGGTGTCCTTTTATTGTGGGCAGTCTAAGGCACACCTTAACATTATTCATGCTGTCTAATCAGCCCCTTGATACGCCACACCTGTGAGGTGGGATGGATTATCTGGGTAAAGGAAAAGTGCTCACTAACATACATATAGACAGATTTCAGAACAATATTTGACAGTCATGGGTCTTTTATGTATGTAGCCAAATTTTCAGATGTTTTGAGTTCAGCTCATGAAAAATGGGAGCAAAAACAAAAGTGTTATATTTTGGTTAAGTATTTATACACAGAAGATAAGAATATACACAAGCCTAAGCTTCAAAATATATTGTGATATAAATTCTAGGCCATGTCGCCCATTCCTTTCATAGATGGGACATTGTATACTTCTGTCAAATCAGCACCTTTTTTGCAACACTTGCCGGGTGCAACAGATCATCATTGATCTATGATCTGTACGGATCTCTCTCCACGGTTCGGCATGCACGCGGTCCACAGATTGTAATGTGGAGGACAGAGGCGCTACCTGTTCAGTCCAAAGAAGAAATGCACAGCGGTGGTAATGAAGGAAGAGAGGAGCTTGAAAAACCACCTGCATCATTTAGGTCACAAGTATGGGAGCATTTTGGCTCCCTTGTAAAATACAATGATGATACAAATTACGACAAAAATTAATATGTGATTGCGCCTCCAGTCTGATGGCGCAGCACTGCACACACATAACTCCAATCGCTGAGAAAGGAGCGAGGGGGTAGGGCATGAAACATGCCTTGGACATAACATAAACATGCTGTGTCTGGTGCTTTAAGTTGGCCGGTACCCACCAGCACTTCTTATTTTTACCTCTCAGCATTCCAGGACTTTTTCCCAGGGTACGATGAGTACCGGTAGTTTTTTCCGGTCATTTACTAGTCGAAATCTCCGGGATTTCTGAAAAAACATCAGTCTGTCTCCAACTAAATACCAGCCATCCACAGTCATTTTGTGGAAGCTGTAGCCGGCTACGGCAGGGTCACACGCACAAACACTCCACACCAGCAGATTGTCTCCAAACACTTTATTCAGTCTCTCGGATGCTCCTCGATCCACAGGTTCAAATTAATTCATTTGGAAAAAGATGCCTCCTCTGCGTCTGCTGCTTGTATATGTTAAAAGAAGAGGACGTGATTATTGATGCGCTTCACCTGCTGTTGCACACGCTCCCGCTGCCACGTCTGCTCTCTGCTACCCGGCAGACGCGCTTGTCAAGGCGCACCGCCACAGATTCTCTCTAAATGCCCAAAAGACGCATCCCTGCCGTGAAGCGCACCGCGCATACACCATCAAAGTCTGTCAGCTCAGGCAAGAGGAGAAAAAAAAGAGACGGGTTTTCTGACACCATGCACGTTCTCGCAATGATTGACAGCACCTGACCAGCCAGTGGTCAGATGGGGAAGAGATGGCATCCAAACAGAAATGCTCTAGAAAAAAATGTCTAAACCAGAGGAGTGTGTTGTGGGCATAAACAGACTGTAGATGGAATTTTACAGCAGCCCTCATTATCATTCACTAAATTCAATTCAGTTTATTTATATAGCGCAAAATCACGACAAGTCGTCTCAACCCACTTCACAAAGTAAACAGTCCAATACAGTTCAGATTATTAAGCCAATCAGTAAAAAGTTTCCTATATAAGGAATCCAACAGGTTGCATCGAGTCACTGACTTGTGTCAGAGTCTTTACAGCAATCCTCATACTAAGCAAGCATTTAGCGACAGTGGAGAGAAAAACTCCCTTTTAACAGGAAGAAACCTCCAGAGGATCCTGGCTCAGTATAAGCAGCCATCCACCATGATTCATTTAAATGCCTTGCGTAAACCTTAGAGCTGTAGCGAAGCGTCGATGAGGTTGACGGCTCGATTCTAAACATCCCCACCCAGTTTAGAGTTTGGACCTTTGGAGATCCATATTTTGGTCCAGAACCCAGTAATCTTTCCCCAGTGGGACATCCCTAGTTATTTGTACTTTTGTTTTAATTCCCCACAGGCAGAATTAGTTTTATTATTCCCAACCTGTGGATGGAAAGATTTATGATTTTTTTGTTGTAAATAAACCTGATCATCATTTTAACTTTTAAATCCCACGTTATCTGGTCTTCCAGGCAGTACTGTGAGACCTCTTCAAATGGTCCAGAACGCAGCGGCGCGTCTGGTCTTCAATCAGCCAAAAAGAGCACACGTCACCCCTCTATTCACTGAGTTCCATTGGCTACCGCTAGCAGCACGCATCAAATTCAAATTGCTAACACTAGCATACAAAGTCCGAGATGGTACGGCTCCCATCTACCTGAATCCTCTTGCAAAGGCTTACGTCTCGGCCCGGCCGCTCCGGTCATCACAGGATCGTCGGCTAGCAGTGCCTACACCACGCTCAGGATTGTTCCACAAATGGGTGGGAGGGAGGGAGGGAGGGATGGAGGGAGGTAGGTAGGTAGGTAGGTAGGTAGAGAGATAGATAGAGAGAGGATTACATATTGTATTATAACCATATCATTATTTGTAGTCATATCTACCTAAATAAATCTTAATCTGCTAGTATGATGGATTTCTGGTTCCAGCTGCTTCTGCTGAGTGAAGTTCTCAACCCAAGGCTCATCTATAGCACAAGAACACCTGAGTAGCTTGGCTGTCATCAGCTCAGCTCAGAAGTAGCACAGCATCAGATGACCTCATTGATGACTTTGCATTAAGAGAAAGGAGATGTGTCTGCAAAAGGTTTCATCCATGCTTGAAAGAGGCTGCTCATTTAATCTGTGCCTTTGACTACATAGTTGTCAATCTAAATGACCCCAATTATAGTCATTTTGCAATAGAGAGAGCCTCAAATCCCCTCCGCCAATATTTTTTGGAGGGGAGTACCGGCACTTAGGCTATTTTTTTCCATTTCAAGCACTGGGTGGGACCTGTAGATGTTGTTGGGGACAAATCAGTAAAAGAGGCCAAAAGAAAACTAAACAGCACATCAGAAAGGTGAGGAAATGAGTGAACGTTGAACACAAAGGGAGAGTGTGTCTCAGCAAACCATTTTAACATTTAAACAGCAATCGGACCTCTCTGTAACTCCTGCTTTTATAGCACGTTGCAAATTGAGTAGAAAATGTTGCACTAAGTGTTCTACAAAATTAAGAGAGAGAGCAAAGCTGTTTGTTTTGCTATTTTCGTTTTCTTTCTGCTCATCCCTAAAACGATCTGAACCCTGATTGAAAACCGTGACATGATCCGAACTGTGAGACGTTTGATCCGTCGCACCACTAGATGTTACACAGCATTTTAAACTAGAATTCTTGTGATTCCAACAATATATCACAATCAAGGATTCAACTTTAAATGTAGACACAGTACCATATTTTCCGGACTATAAGCCGCTACTTTTTCCCCACGCTTTGAACCGTGCGGCTTATAATGAGGTGCGGCTTTACTGAAGATTTTCCTTCACCTGCCAGGGGGCACTTTAGCAGAAAGTGAAACAGGTGAAAGTCAAAAGTGGGAATCGAAGAAAGTGCTCATTTTAATTTAGCGCATGCAAGCAGCCGGCACAACGAAGAATTTTTTATGAAATTCATACCCCCTCATCATGGTAACTACTCGTATGAGTTCATATGATGCCGCATTTAAGTTGAAGGCCATCGATCTGGCAGTAAAGGAGGGAAACAGTGCTGCCGCACGTAAGCTTGGCATGAATGAATCCATGGTTCGGTGCTGGAGACGGCAACGGGAAGAACTCATTCAAGCCAGCTTCACCCGGGGATGATGACAGCAAGACGGACAGCGACACTGACATCGCCACAGAAAAGGTATGTGACGAAGCTCTTCTGAGGCTGTTCAACTCGACACTGAAGAAGAGGACTTTAATGGCTTTAGTGCGCAAGAGGAAGATGAGAGCGAATGACTTCTTCTGGTAGGCAAGTGTGTTTTATTTACTAACCAGGCATGTTTTGTGTGCAGTTTTTATTTTCTAATCTTCCAGGGCTTATTAATGCTGTGTCAGCGCTGTTCTTTTCTTCTAAACATGCAAATTACCGGTAATAACGTGTCAGTTCTATTTTATTTTAAACCATCCAGAAATATGAATGCTATCGGTGCTGTTTTGTTTTCTAAACTTGCAGGCACGTTCACCCGTGTTTAAAATTCGTTTTGTTGAAGTAAAACAACGAAAAACATCCGTGTAGCGTCTTTCTGTCTAATTATCTTATGTTATGGCCGTACATGCGCTGTGCGCAGGAGACCTGCATGTGGCTGCTGCGCCGCGGCTTGTATTTGAGTGCGGCGTGTGTGTGTAGAAAACCTTTTTTTTTGTTGGTGCGGTTTATATTGAGGAGTGCTCTATAATCTGGAAATTACGGTAAACACTTATCAAATCACTCAAATTCTAAATATTGTCTAACCCACTGTTCAAAGCCTTATATCATTGACAGAATGGAGCCATCTTCTTCTTCCGGCACTCGCAGAGTACAGACGCTTCTGCTTTTGCTCCCTTATTTTTTTCCCCAAGGCTCTTTGTCCTGTCTGCCCACAGAGCGCTTCTCTGCATTTCTTCTGAAAAACCCCACTTTTTACAATGGATTTAATTGAGTGGTCATTCAACGTGATTGACAAGATTTTTTCTACAATGAGAACGGAGGAGGGGGCTCCCACTTGCCCGCAAGGGACACACGCAGCGGGATATATGCTCGATTCCTGGAGGGAGTGGAAGATCGTATGCCTCTCTCAGTTGTCCATTGAGGATGTCGAAGATGTGTGGATATTTGGCCTGATGATCACTGGATTTCTTCTGATTGGAGTGGGAGGATATCTGGTTTTCTGGAAATTTGGGAAGACTGGAGCGATTGGAGGGCGACCCGCACCCACGGAAAGCACCGTCCATGTGGAGACCTCACGACTGGGACGTTACTCGAGGTGAATCGTAAGCTGGACAATGTCCTAGCTGCGATACCGGTATTAGTGCGCAAAATGGATGTCATCTCGGAGAGGGTCACTGGACAGTGTGGAGATGTTTAAAACCTGAATTGGCTTCACTGGAGGACTTGAATGATCAGTTACAGACTTCAAGGCAGAGAGGAAAATTATCTCTGCCTGACCCAAACAAAGTCTTGTTATCCGAATCTGATGCCATGGCAGCCTTGTGAATACCAACAACAAACCCCACGAAGGAATGCAGAACACCCCCCCCCCCCCCCCCCCCCCCGCCCGCCTTCGGATTGTGAACTTCAGCCTGACGGGGTCATCAACCTGCAGGTGTCAATGTGCTCTGCGCTCCTCCCAAGATCTCCCTCCCACCTGTGGCTACAGTGGCTGAGTGCCATAGGGCTGCTCTCGCTGGGGAAACAGGATCCCCCCCCCCACACACACACACCTTCCTCTCTGTGTCTCATGTTGTGAATTGTTGATGTTCGTGCTTATATCTATTATTGGTTTAGGTCATACTTTTGTAACAGGTCTGCTAGGGTCATGTTGGATGGCTGTTCATCCGAGTCACAGCCTCTACATTGGGTTATCCCACAAGGTTCAATTCTCGGCCCGTTACTGTTCAACCTCTATATACTGCCCTTAGGAGCCATTTTCAGAAAGCACGCTGTCTCATACCATCTTTACGCTGACGACTGTCAAATCTATTTTTCATTTAAGCCAACTCAATCAACGAAAGTTCTGTCTGATTGTATCCTTGAGGTCAAGCAATGGCTAGCTGACAACTTCCTCCATCTTAATGACTCCAAAACTGACTTAATCGTTTTCAGTCCTAACAGTACCACGGCAACTCATCAACATGAGCTATCTCTCACCTAATGTATCCTCTGTAATCTCCAACCTTGGAGTAAAAATGGACCAGGCTCTGAAGATGGATGCCCAGGTCAATAACACAGTTAAATCATGTTTTTACCAACTAAGACGCATCTCGAAACTAAAGCACATCCTGAGTGTCCATCTTCTGAAATCCGTGGTCCACACTTTCATCACCTCAAGGCTGGATTACTCTAACTCCTGCTTATACGGCATCAGTAAAGCAGCTCTTTCTAGACTTCAGCTGGTCCAGAATTCAGCAGCTAGGTTGCTGACTGGAGCTGACAGAAGACAACACATTTCTCCAATTCTGAAATCTCTCCACTGGTTGCCCGTGCAGTTTAGGATAAATTTCAAAATTATGCTTCCGACTTACAAATCCTTGAACCATCAAGCTCCTCCATATTTGTGTGAACTTGTCCATTACTACAACCCGCCGCGTGCTCTCAGGTCCGAAGATAAGCTCCTCCTAGCTGTTCCCAATGCACGTTTAAAAAGCCGTGGAGAGAGGGCTTTCTCTGTCTGTGCACCGAAGCTGTGGAACGCATTACCACTGCTAGTGAGGCAAGCACCAACAGCTAGCATTTTTAAATCACGCTTGAAAACTCACTACTTCAACCTAGCTTACATAACATAATTATGACCATCACTTACATCTGCACTGTTTAAAAATGGACTTTACAATATCAACTTCCATACTATTGAGGTTCTTTTTAAAATGTTTTTCTAATTTTTATTCTCCCTGTGTCTTATTGATTTTTAGCTGTTAGCTTTTGGGAATTTTGTTGTATTTCCTTTTTATCTTTTATCTGTGTTCGACATGTTTGTATACCGCCGGTATGATTAACTAACATTTTTAGTGTACAGCGCCTTGTTTGGTTGTAATGCCTTGTGAATGCGCTTTATAAATAAAATTGGATTGGATTGGATTGGATTATATGTTTGAGGCGTTTTTTTCTGCATAGTAAAGCTACGCCCTGCCGGGAGTAACTGGTATGCCTTTTTTCCCTGCCCCAATTTATCCTCACGTGATCCCCTTTTCATCTAATTAACGGTAGTGCGACTCTTGTTGCGAATGACCACAGTACCAATTCTTCTGTACTGAAACAATTGCCCCTCGGGGATGAATAAAAATTTTTTTTTATTTCAATTTGAATTTGATCTTCAACAAGAATAGTCTTTTACATCCACAAGTCTAATAAAAGTTAGTCCACAATAAATTGTGTGTTCACAATTTAACGTAATAGACCACCTGTTAGCGTAAGGTTATCCAGCCTCTACTGGGGCAAAATCATCAGCTACTGGCTGACAGATCAGAAGAACTGCCACCTCATGCCACGAGTGTAACGTGAAACAACAGCGGTGCAAAACAATGACGTTTTACGTGGAAATCTCGTGGCTTGCTACTGCAAACTGAAGAATGACTGCAATTGGTGGAGCACTCCATGCAGTGTGTCCGGTCCACAGAAAGTCTAAACGTCTCCTGCACAAATATATGGTCCATCATCATTTTTTTGTACTGACAAATATTGTTTGGAAAATTACTACATATCACCCAATCCTAATGTGGAATCCTGATAAAACCTCATCCAGTTATTGTGAATGTCACATTCTTGATGATTAGATCATGATCCGTCCATCTAATTTCCCTGACTGTCAGTCCCTCCTCTGTGCACACCCCACCATGTACATGAAGAGCACATTCTTGAGCGGCTGAAAAGGAGGCAAAGCCCGAACTGAATCCTTGGGAACAAGTATTGCATGTTCCTGTATTCTGGAGGCGCAGCTTTGGGGAAAATGCTTGACAAAGGGGGTTGGACCTTTGACTTGCATTTATAGAAAAAGTAGATCCCTTGAACAGCAAGCAAACATCTCATATCCCACTTTAACAAACCACACATGGCAGGAATATCTGATGAAATTATCTTAAGGCAATCGGGTGCATCCTTAAAACTGCTGAAAGAGGGGAATCAGGTCAAAATACAGCATGTTATCTTGCCACGTGAACCAGGCCCGAGTGATTTCAACCATACAATACCAAGAAAAACTGCAAATTACATCTAAATAAATGAACTGACAACTTCAGCATATTTATCTCAGAAGTCTGTCAAATGTTTAAAATGTATTTGACTTTATTTTGACACGTTTTGTGATATCTCCTTCTGTAACGATGAAATGGACTTCAACAAAAAGGAATGAGAAGTTCAGTGAAAGCAAAATCTTGGAAAAAAAATTGAGTTATCAGACAGTTCCAAGTTTATTTCTAAGAATTTCTCTGAGAAAGTGCATGGCTGGGTTAATGGGTGACAGTTTAACCAGCTTACTACCCTCTGCATACTTGGCTAATTACATTTATAAACAGTAGTACCGTTGTCAGGGACAAATAGCCGTGTCTGGTACATTGCATTAAATGTTGGCTGACGTGGAGACTTTTTTTAGGTTTTTTTTTTCTTTTACTTACAGTTGCACCTTTTTTTCTTGTCACTCCTACATGACTTACAACTGGAGGTAATTGCATTAGTGCTTAACACTCTACGCTTGCCTACAAACTAACAACAAACTAATGTGACCACAGTGGCACAAGCCAAATGCCGTTTTTGCTGAGGTTTAGACAGAGTAATCTGATTTGAAGTTTATTGTTTTGGTGCAAAACTGCACAAGATAAACCACAGAATGGTAACGCAATGAAAGTAGTGATGGGGGGGGGGGGGGGGGGGCTAAAAGTAAAAATGATTTTAAAAGTGCATAAGTGTAAGTAAATATTAACAAAAAGAGAATCGTGTCAGGATGACATCTTTCCCAAGGCTGTTGGGAGGTCCACTGCACCCTAGGATGCACATGCTAGTGTAACCGGATTACAGGATACAATAAGATAATTAAAAGAAAAAATAAACAAATGGGCCAATAATTAGGTTCGGGGAGAATTGGAGGTTGTTTAAGAATGACTGGAGTCACGGGTATAGCATGAAACGGTTTATATACTAAATTTTAATAATAATGGGAAATATAACACATAAAGATAACACACAAAAACAGATGAACACAATCGACAATAGTAAATTGGTCGGTATGAGATTTGATCATATGAGTCACAAGTCCGCCGGCGTCAAGTCAAATCCCCACGCTTGGGGTGAAAGTCAGAGTCCGGTGGTGCGATTTTTTCCTACCACACCGTTGAGATTGTTCACAGAAGAGAGCAGTCTGCTCTTCAGTTACTTGAGATGTCCTGGTTCGTTCAGTGGTTAAGGCTCGCCATCTCCCTCGTCAGGAAGAAATCCAGTTCTCGTTCCAAGTGAGTGATCATAGGAGTCGGGATCAAACCCAAGGAAAAAAAAAAACCCAGCCTGTAAACAACAGGACTGTTAGCAAGTTGGCATCGACCCTTCTCGTCACATCACAGCATAAAGTCTTACAGACTTAAACAAATGCTTCACTCTATTGGCATAGCCAATCATGTTTGGGTTCACAGTTCAACTAACATAACATCAATTTGATTGTCTATTAAAATAATTCTCAGTAGCTCTGGAAATATAATTACATATGACAACAATTGTTCAGCTCAATAGGCTCAGTTAGATTCTATTACTCTACACTATTCGACAAGAAATACATTCATGACAACAAGGATACATTTAGTTGTGTTTCTATACAGCATTGTGACACCTTGTATATCTGTAACACAATAAATAAATAAATAAATAAACAAACAAATAAATAAATAAATAAATAAAATTTTCTATAACAAAATTAAACAAAATATAAATTCTGGTCCTTTGGTCCACCTTTGTAAAATAATTCCTCCCTAATCAGTTAGCTTTTATTTATTTTTATTTATCTATTTTTTTTATTATTAAATGTTTGGTTAAGGGACGCATTGCTAATTCTATGGCGTTAGCTATAACGCCCCTGAGGACCTTGTACATCTAGGCCGTACCACCATTAACTGGCGGTTTGAGCCGTTAACTCCTGGGAATCCCATATGCCCTACCGCCGTTAACTGGCGGTTTGAGCCGTTAACTCCTATATGCCCTACCACCGTTAACTGGTAGTTTGAGATGTTAACTCCTGGGATCTAACGTCTAGCAGCCCACTGCTGTCACCTCGGTTGCTGTAATTAGCTTTTTGAATTTAATAATTTACTGAATTTAATCTCATTCACTCACCAACGCGCTCCAACGGTTCCCTCCTACAGAGGATTGGTTCACTCTGTCGTCTCCACACAAATCTATAAGAATGGAATTAATTTGATAAGCTATTTAAGTTTCCTTTTTTTTTTTAAGTTGCATCGTTAGCTTTTTCTCTTCTTTTTTCTTTACTCACCGCGTTGGTTCCAAGTTCCTAGCTCTTATTAGAAGGAGTCAAGTCCGCCTCTCC